TCCGAGTTTGCTCTTGGACCCGAGGCTGCTGCAGAGGCCTAGAGGAGCCGCCGGCGCTCAGCATGATTTCCTGAAGGAATATCTGAAATACACACTCTGCCTGGGCTTGGGTGGGTCCCGCTCGGCGGTCTACCCAGTTGTGATCTTTCTTTAGGGACACGGGCATGGCTATTTTCTTCTGCATTGGAGGTCTGGCTTCGATAATACTCTATAACTTGTTGGGCTGTGGATGCTCACATTTTTTTGAGTATATGGGCCAGTTTTGTAGCCATCAGAAAACCATTTTACTTACTTTAATGGCCCTGTCATCCGTCGAGCAACCCCTGTGGCCCTCCCCTTGACGAGTAACAACTGAGATACTCGGTCCTATTTTGTGCCCATATTTTTCAGGGAAGTTCTTTCCTGCCCCTATCCAATTCCATGAATTCAGATTAAAGCTGTGGAAGATTTTACAGTAGATTTTATAGTCCAAGTGTGTGGGAGCTATTTTGGTCGTGAGTTGTACCTTCATGGGTAAGTGGAGTTGGGATGGCTTGATTCCAGCGTTGGTTGTGAGTCCATTCAACTGGTAAAGAAACTGAGACTGCTCTTGCGTTCTAAATGCTGCAGTTCTTGCCCCTTTTGTTCAGAGAGTGAGAGAATTGGACTGGCAGACTTAATGATGGCCCTAGTTTACTTGGGTTGGGTTACACAAGGTCCCAGCATGTTGTAGGTTATGCTGCGGCGTCCATAAGCAGTCTGTCTCCTAGCTTACACAGTAATGCTACTGAAAGTTACAAGTGAGTCACATTTTTATACATTAATTTGTGGCCTTCCTTTTCCCGTGGCCTCTGTAATAGAAGGCTGGGTCAGTGACACTGAGTGTATGAGAGTAAGCAGATTCATATTTAAGAAATGCTTATTAGCAACATTTATGCTTCGCAGTAAATACTGAACTTTCCTACAGAGAGTCATGTCACAGTATGTCATACCATGTCATATATATATTTAGAGGGATTTAGTGTGGCTGTGTATACTTTGAACTCTTGGCTTGTACTCACTGTAGGAATGAGGTACCCAGCCGGGAGTGGTGGCCCACACCTGTGATCTCAACATTCTGGGAAACTGAGATGGGAGGACTGCAGCTTGGAGGCCAGCTAGGCAACTTAGTGATTTAGCAAGATGCCATCTCAAAATAAAAACAGGGCTGGAGATGTAGCTCGGTATGAAATCCCCATTATTGGGGAGGGAAATGAGGGCCCAGAAAAAAATTTACAGTAAATACCTGAGAAGTTCTTAAGATATTGTTAATTTAAAAAATAATTCGATGGTATTATCTCATAGGAATTTGGTTCTGTTTTTAATTATAGCTTTTATGCTACAATTGCTTATTCCATGTTAATCTAAGCACTTAGTAATAAGAGTAAGGCTTTTAAAAATAATGAAGAGGGAACTAAAATGTCTTCTCATTAGCTTTCTTTTTAATCTTTTTAATCATGAAGGCTATCACTTTGTGGTTTTTTTAAAAACCAGTTTTCACAGTCTTGTGATAGGAATAGTTATCTATTAATTAATAACGGTGTATTAGAAAGAGAAAGAGGAGGAATTTCCCCCTCTGTGATTAGTCCAGTGCCCCCCCTTTTTGGAGATGAGCATTACTTTTCTTCAAAGACTGTTACAGGTTGAGCATCTCTAATCCAGAAATCTGTTATGCAGAAATATTTCTCTCAGAAAGCTTCAGACTTTGAAGTGTTCTGGATTTTCTGATAAGAGAAGCTCAAATAGTAAAATCTATGCGAATATTCAAAAATCCAGAAAATCTGGAACACTTTTGGTCCCAAGCACTTTGGTTTTTTTTGTTTGTTTGTTTTTGCTTTTGTTTTTGTCTTTTTGAGACAGGGTCTCCCTTTGCAGTTCAGGCTGGCCTTGAGCTCACTTTGTAGCCCAGACTGGCCTCGAACTTGGAACCGTCCTTCCGCCTCCTGAGTGCTGGGATTACAGGCGTGGGCCACCATGCCTGGGTTCAAGCACTTTGAATAGAGGCTGTTCCACCCATCTGCTCTGGGTCCTGCACTTTGTTAAGGGTGGGGGATAAGATAACCTGAATGTCACAGCCTCAGGAGCTTTCAGTTTCAGGACTGCTGGGGTTTACTGTAAGGATGGTAAGGATGGAAGGAGAGGCTGAACAGCTTCCTACTGGAGAAGGCTTGGAGAGTTAATTTTGGAGAAATGAACCTAGGGAGATAAATCTGGTGGCTTTTATGTTGGGTGTTTTGCAGAAGAGAGGGAACAGAGGTTGAGATACTGTAGTGTGCTGCAGACTTTGGCACTTCGGATGCTGTTGGCTGTGGTGTGTGGTCACTTGGAAAGTGCAACGTGGGGGACATAGAACGTATTATTTCTGCCAGACGTTAAGACAGTGGATCCTCAACGCTGGCGTGTGGTAGACCATTGAAAGCTGTAACAAGAGAGAAATAAAAACGAAGCCTATTTAGGGAACCAGAGGACTTTGGCGTTCCAGGCTGTCACAGCTGTCTTCACGGTAGGCAGACATCGAGCAGCTAGGAGAGCCAGTACTGGAAAGAGTCTTTCTGTTTTGAATTTCTCTTTTTTCCCACCAGTGTTGATCTTAAATATGAGTAATATACAGTTCCCTTCTAAAGAAAAAAAAATTATAAGTCCCAGTAGTGGCCTAAATTATTTTATTAAGGTGTTGAAATTTTTAGATATATATACAAAGCCAAGTACGAAGTAAAAGTACATTAATGAACAAAATATAAACAAAACTGTGAAAGCAACAAAGCAAATTAAACTTGGGGGGATGGGTGATGTTATTTTGCTGAAACCACCGTAATCTTTCTTTGCATAGTGGATGCATTGTTATCTGCCTTGATATAGGTGTGCAGTTTTCTGTGTACTGTTTGTCCTATGAAAACTTGATTCCCATACCACCTTTTTGTATGTGAACGCTGCAGAGCTAGTTTGGCTTTCATTTAGCATAGATGTTAATTTCCTTGCAAGTCCCTTTTGTGCCCTTTTTCTTCAGCCTACCGTAATACTCTTACTGATTTTGGATATGAGATGTTTATCCAGATGATCCAGAGTGTACTTTAAAACTACATTATCAAAATGAAAATGCAAACTTTTCAAGACTTCAGAACTCACGGCTTGTAGTCGGCTGCCGCCAGTTTAGTTTATGTAGTTCTGTACCTAGTTTTTGCATTGTTGATGTTTGATTTTAGAAATCAAAGCTGAAATTTAAATGATATGTAATTAACCAGTTAGTGCTGGTGGTAAACTCTAGGCACAGAAGTGCCTGGTTACTTATAATTATTTGTCTAAACTTCTCTTGAATTACTCATCTGTAATCCAATGCCAGATAACTACCTCTAGTTATGCACCAGAATAAAAATGTTTGTCCACCTAGGTTGGTCTCCTGTAACCAGGAGCAGTGTTTCCACAATGGTAATAGTC